AAAGTTCTAGCACGTAAGAGCGACCGTGAAAACACCAGAAAGCCGGGAGCACAACGAGGCACGCTGATGGCGGGTACCTTGTATGTATATATGTACATATATATGGTACAATGGTGCCATGTCATACAATGGTATCATATGGTACAATGGTACAATGTGCCATATGGTACATTGTACCATATGGTACATTATACCATATTGTACATTGTACCATATAGTACAGGATACAGGGACCCTAATGGAAATAAGTCTGTCTGACTTTTTTGGGTTACCTTAGGTTCTCCAAACATATGCTGCTAAGTATGATATTCTGTGCAACTTTATTTGTGTATACCTAAATAAACTTACTTACAATGCCACATGTGCTTGAGTAAGTTTATTCAGGTGTACACAAATACAGTTACATAGATTATCATACATAGCAGCATATGTATAAAATATCCTAGGATAACCCAAAAAAGTCAGGATGACTTATTTCCATAGGGATCCCTGTATCTGTACCATATGGTATCCTGTACCATATGGTATCCTGTACCATAGGGTACCCTGTACCATATTGTACCCTGCACCATATGGTACCCTGCACTATATGGTACCCTGTACCATATGGTACCCTGTACCATATGGTACCCAGCACCATATAGTACCCTGCACCATATGTTATCCTGTACTACATGTTATCCTGTACTGTATGGTACCCTATACCATATAGTACAATGTACCATATGGTACCCTGTAACAAATGATACCATGTACCGTATGGTCAATAGGACATGTTGGTGGCAGCAGGCACCAGCCAAGACTGAGTGGCGACGCAAGCTAGCTACTGACTCAGCAGTTTCCAAGACAAAGCGCTCTGTCATCCACCTCAAGTAACTTGTGTCGAGTCACTGTACATTTGTAAATATATAATAAAACATTACTAATATACAACATTTTTGCATATTTTTGTTGTAAACAATTATTGTAAACAAAATAAATATGAAAATATTAGTGTTTATTGTTTTGAATACAACAGTACCATATAGTACCATATGGTACAATGAACCCGGTGGCCCGGTGGCCTGGTGGCTAAAGCTCCCGCTTCACACACGGAGGGCCCGGGTTCGATTCCCGGCGGGTGGAAACATTTCGACACGTTTCCTTACACCTGTTGTCCTGTTCACCTAGCAGCAAATAGGTACCTGGGTGTTAGTCGACTGGTGTGGGTCGCATCCTGGGGGACAAGATTAAGGACCCCAATGGAAATAAGTTAGACAGTCCTCGATGACGCACTGACTTTCTTGGGTTATCCTGGGTGGCTAGCCCTCCGGGGTTAAAAATCCGAACGAAATCTTATCTTATCTTATCTTACCATTGCACCATATGGTACCATAAGGTACCATTGTATCATATGATGCCATTGTACCATATGGTACCATTGCACCCTATGGCACCATTGTACCATATGGTACTATATGGTACCGTTGTATTCAACACAATAACCGCACTAATATTTTCATCATTTTGTTTACAATAAACTTGTAAACAAGTTTTGTAAGCAATATAATGATAAACAAATTAGTGCAGTTATTGTGTTGAATACAATGAGTGTACACTTATACAATATACATTATATTGGTCTCACAGGCCACAAATGTTACTAGAAAAAGAAAAAAATTAGAAAAGAAAAGAAAAAAGTATAAAAAACGTAAAATGAAAAATATGTGATTTTGAGGAAGTCACTGATGTTGCTGCCATCGGGTCATTTTGGGTCAACTTTCCGCTGCTGTATCTTGGTATGTACTGATCAGAATTTTTTTTTTTTGTTTCATTACCTTCACAAAAATATTACCTTTAATTCTGTAAAAAAATTTTTTTTTTTTTTTTTTCAAAATTTCTTGGACACTGGAGCACCACTTCAGATTTTGGCCTTGGACCCTGAAAGGGTCCAGACACACATACAACAAATCACCAAGAAAATCTCCAAAACTGTAGGCATATTATCAAAGATAAGGTACTACGTTCCACAATCAGCTCTCCTGGCACTGTATCATTCACTCATATACCCTTATCTTATATATGGAATTTGTGCATAGGAGTCAACAACATCCAATCACCTAAAACCCCTAATAACCCAGCAAAAGGCAGCAGTAAGAATGATAACAAATTCCCACTCCCGCCAGCACACTCCACCAATTTTCAAAAGTCTGAATCTGCTCACCATTAAGAACATCCATACTTATTCATGTGCCTACTCCATACACAGAACAATATAAGCAAATATAAACCCCCCACTCAAACTTCTCCTCACCAACCTAAACAGGACACATGACCACAACACAAGACACAGATCTCTTTTTGATATACCTCATGTCCATATTACACTGTGTAAAAATTCAATGCACATAGAGGGCCCCAAAATATGGAATTCATTACCAGAAGATGTTAAAGTAACCCAGTCTGAAAATCAATTTAAGACTCTTCTCAAAAGCCACTTAATCACCCTAGACTAAATGCTAAATACTCAGTACTCACTTACTCACCTATGTACTCCCACATCATAACTGAAACAATTACTTTGAACCTTTTATCCATTGTTGACAGGAATATAATTGAATCATTGTTTTCACAAAAAGCATATTCGAATAAAAATATATCTTTGTATTATACAAATTTTGATTCATTTATAATTAATATTCTACTGTACAACTATGAAATAATTATTATCCTACTGTACAACTATGATATACACCTACCATCTGACTTACAACCTGCTCGACTTACGACCACTCGACTTACGACCGTGTTTTTTATGCCAAATTTCTGGGAAACAAACAACTATTTGTGTTGTACACAGTGTTTATCCTAAACCTTACAGTATAAAATACAGTACTAACAGCATAAAAAGTAAAGTAAAACATGAAATACCAAAATAAAACAATAAAATAAAGTCATTACAAAAATGTTTTGTTGATATTCAGTAGTAAAGTTCGACTTACGACCATTTTGACTTACGACCGGTTTCTCGGAACCGAACTCGGTCGTAAGTCGGATGGTAAGTGTACTCCTTAGTGTTAAGTAGATTGTAAGCCAATAATGTTAAGTTGGCTCATAATGCCTAGGCATAATAGAGGCTCTCTTTGCATTGCAACCCACTATTGTAAATACAAAATCTCAATGTACTGTTTGCAAAGACATAAAATAAAAAAAAAAAATCCAGATGTTGCACATGTGTCTTAACTTTCATATTGTCGGTATTTTATACCTTTCTTGCACAACTTGTCAAACACTGCAACATCATGGAATCTTGGTTCAGAGGACATCTACAAGACCTTCTTCATGGCTGCTACAACTAACCCATCCCTTTGAGTAGGACCTACTTCCACTGGGGAATCCCACCTACCAGTGACTATGCCCTCGTCTGCTACACGCCCTTATCCACTGATGCCTATATAACCACCAGTCTTCTTGCCTTTGCTCCAGATTCTCCTCCACCACGATGCTGTGAACACTAACTCCAAGGCTGAGGGACTGATTACCTCATCTTTTGTATATAGTTCTACTGTCTTCTAATTATGTCCTAGAATCTGTATTGATAAAGCCACTGGATGGTGAAACGTCTACAATTAAGATATCCAGATGTTGCACATGTGTCTTAACTTTCAGTATAGGGATGCCTTTCATAACACCATGCTTCAAGGTATATGCCAGGTTATCTAAAACATTGTTGGGACCTATAAATACTTTGTATATATTTCTAGACAATAGTAAATAACCCAGGCAGGTGTAAATGTTCACTATCTGAGCACTATTTCAGTAACTAATATTAGTGTCAGAACAAAGATTGGCTATGAAATCACAAGACATCTACAAGACCTTCTTCACGGCTGCTACAACTAACCCATCCCTTTGGGTAAGACCTACTCCCACTGGGGAATCCCGCCTACCAGTGACTATGCCCTCGTCTGCTAAACGTCCTTATCCACTGATGCCTATATAACTGCCAGTCTTCTTGCCTTTGCTCCAGATTCTCCTCCACCACGATGCTGGTACAAGGCTGAGGGACCGATTACCTCATCTTTTGTATACAGTTCTACTGTCTTCTAATTATGTCCTAGAATCTGTATTGATAAAGCCACTGGATGCCGAAACGTCTACAATTAAGATATCCAGATGTTGCACATGTGTCTTAACTTTCAGTATAGGGATGCCTTTCATAACACCATGCTTCAAGGTATATGCAAAGGTCTCTAAAACATTGTTGGGACCTATAAATACTTTGTATATATTTCTAGACAATAGTAAATAACCCAGGCAGGTGTAAATGTTCACTATCTGAGCACTATTTCAGTAACTAATATTAGTGTCAGAACAAAGATTGGCTATGAAATCACAAGAACTATTATAAATTGTAATTATCAAAACATAAAAAAACATATAAATTAAAATAAAAAAAAAGAGAAAAGGTATATCGGCAATATTTCTGCAAGCGGCAGGAGTCAATGTTGACATCAAGTGAGCATCAAGAGCCAACTTCACGGTCTTATATCTCAGTAAGTACCGACCCAAAATTTTTTTTTAATCCTATAACATGTAGAAAAATGTGCTCTTCATTTAAAAAAAAAAATTATTTTTCAAAATATTCAGAGTGCCACGCGAGTGAACGTAGATCTATGTTTGGACAGTTTAAGGGTTAAATTTAATGATGATGTACTAATCATATGATACTATGACTGTCACAGCCATACACAAATAAATCCTAAGTGATGCACTTTCAACATACTTCCATGGTTCATCAACACCACAATACTGTTTTGAAATATACATACACCTTTTTGTGATATATTTGATGAACTAGTCATGTTAACTGTCTAGTCTGGTTATGACTGGCACTCCAGTCAGAGGTCTGTGTTGGATGAACCAGTCATGTCAACTGTCTAGTCTTGTGACTGGTACCCCAGTCAGCAGGTTCTCTCATGTAAGATATATCTAAGCTAAGTGAGTGGTAGAAAAGTCTCTTCAGGTATTTTTATGGTGTATTTCAGGGGCTGTGTTTTCCAGTAGTAGTCCTTAAGGTATATTTCACACTTCTAAAAGTAGTACAGCATATTATAAAAAATATTTACAATATAATACTGTTCATAAAGTGGGTAGAAAATGGTAAATTTTTGTACCATTACGAACAGATGTATCACTGCTTCTTGTTGAAAATGTTATTTTTTCTTATTTTATCATTATAACTTTTCTGCAGATTTTGTAGGAACTGAATAGTAGCCTGAATTCCTCCACTCAACTTGGGGTCCCACTGTGGTGGAACAATAAAAGACTCGGCACTTTTTCCAGAATATAACCCCCTACTTAAAACACTTATAATTCTTTCAATGAAGTGCTCCTTACCCCACATATGTTCCTCTCTTTCAATTAATTCTTCAAGAAATAGTGATTTCAAGGTCCTGAGGCTTGGGACATTTACACCAACAGGATAGATCTGCCAGGCTCGACCATGTCGCCGGTGCTCTTGCTTGGGCAGCCACCAACAAGTGCTGAGGAGTTTGGCAAAGTAACAGCATGCTTGAAGAACAATATGCTCCTCTACTCTAATACCATCAATGATACACTTATGTGCAAAATTATATATATACAGCCAGTTACTTTCAGATGTGTTGGCTATGTGTTCATAAGTGTGAGACTGCAGGTCATTCTGAAATCGTTTTGGCAACTTATGTAGATGAAGCCCCTGGGGACGTGGAACCTTCAAGACTGGGGTAAGCATTATACGCAGTGGTAATATTTTCTGCTTCTCTCGGTACATAGCATAAATGCACACACCAGTAGAAGTATGAGCCAGAAAAGGTGGTATGAGTGCAAGGAACTTGAAGCTTGTTGCTGAGAGAGCTTCATGAGCAGCTTTACAAAAGGTGTTTCTAAAATTAGCACCTATGAAAAGTGTTTGTTCCCTAGATGAAGATATACCTATTACACATTCTTCATTTTTTATTGCATTTCTTTCCAGCTCCTTTACAGAAATACAGCCTTCCTTTAGGGCATTATACTCATCAATTTCTAGGTAAAATTCTAAATTCTCTGGAAGAAAAAATTCCAATTTTTCAGTTAAGGGCGAGTAGTAAACAATTTTACCAGTAAATCTTGGATCCACATTTCTAATGTTATCAAATAACATATGAACGTCATGCTTCACTATGCTTTCAAACTCTCTGGATATAATTCCATCCATTTTTTTCTCTTCTTGAAGCAAGTTATCCCAGAGATTAGTTGGGTTTGTAATTCCTAACTTATGACTTTTGCCTTTTAGTATAAGCTTTGCCTTTGCAAGGTCCCCCTTCGTGTTTGATATTACCAATACTTCTTGGAACGACAATAGATCCAAATGACATCTCTTAACATTCTCATTGAAGTGTTGTAGAATTACCGAAGGCTTCATACCCATACTACACTCCACTGCATTCCCTGTGTACCCAACTATGTACTCCATGCACTCCTTGTGGCCTCTTAGTGCTGCCAGATGTGAGGCATTGAGACCACCACAAGTGCTATACATGTATCTGGCACCTTGTGATAACAAATACTCAACCATGTTGATCTTACCGTATGCAGCAGCGATGTGCAGCATTGTGCTCCTCGATGCCTCATGCACTATTTCATCAATATCCAGATTAGTGGTCATCCTTACTGTCCTGTGAAAAACTGTCACCAAGCTCAGCTCAGCAAGCAAGTACAGAAATGTTTTTATTTGTTTATCAGTCTGTCCCTCTTTAATGCCTTTTGCATAATCCAAAAGCTCTTTTGTGGCAGTTTCTCCTATTTCTTTTTTCTGTAATTTCCTTTCAAATTTCTCCAATTCACTCTCTAACAAATCATTTATAAGCTGTTCAGAAACATAATCTAGATTACACTCTGTACTATAAGGGTTCATTTTCAAGTCACGACACAAAGAATAGGCAGTGTCGTGGTGGTGATTGTTGAGTGCTTGAACAAGTGGATGTAGGTGATGTGGAAGAGGGTTAAGACACACTCCAGCCACTCCAAGCAACTGGCAAGTAAGAGTCAGCCCTGATGCTGCTGCCATTGCCAACATGTCAGTATAATTGACTGACGTGCTCATAGGCCAGCAGTCCAACCATGTACTCAGTTCTTCACCTAACTTGTGCCCTGATACTTCAGTGGTGGTCTTAAGGTATGACATACCATCCTTCATGATGTTCTGAAGGTTGTCACAACCAGGTATCATGTCTATCTCTGCTTGTAATCTATCACACAAGGCCTGAAAATAATTTATAAATTATTATTAATAATGGACTTTCCAGAGAAAGAATGATCAATAGAAACAACAGTTACTAAGAGAAGACACAGGTGTGGGACAAATCTTTATTGTGACACTGTTTCACTCTATGTAGAACAAACATAGTCAAAATGAATGTTAGATATGCCCTTATGTCTTGTCTTGATCACTGTCAGCAATACACTGTAGTGTACAACACTGTTCACCTAACGGCCATTCATTTATACCCCTGAATAAACATCTTACAGAAGGTGAAATATCTGAACCTTGAAAGTTATTTCTGCTATCTTTGTGGCTTTTATAATTAGCACTAAACATCAGTTCTAAGCAATATAAAATAATACTAATTGCAAAATTCATACCTATTGAAAACTATAAGTGGCTATATGAATAAGACACAATAAGTAATTATACCTATATAATGTAACAAGACACAATAAGTGACTATACCTGTATAATGTAATAAGACACAATAAGTAACTATACCTGAATAATGTAACAAGACACAATAAGTAACTGTACCTATATAATGTAATAAGACACAATGAGTAACTATATACACATAAAAAACAAACTAGACCTACTCTTGATATCTGTGATTCCTACAATTTATACTTACACCCAAATGACTGTAAACATAAAATTTCGAATAAATCTATTGCCTAACAAATCTTAAACTAGTCATAAGTTTGCCCGAGATACTCCAGTACAGAAGCTTTAACCCTTTTGAGCCCTATTTAACCCTTTGAGCCCTATTTTCGTCCAATTCCAATGTACCACTTGACAAAAATCATAACCATTTCGCTAGAACTCCATTTTTTCTATCGAATGAGTACAAGAAACCACCCATTTACCGATTTCAACTATCCAATAATGTGGTCAGAATTTGGCAGTTTTGCCAATTTCACACAAATTTCAAAAGGTGCCAATTTCCAAATAGGGTCCAGAATAAACAAGACAGACATTCCTGGCACTAAAATAAAAAAAATTTCTGTTCATTAGTCATGTCCCCAGGCCTCTCTTATATTTCTTTTGCCTTCCACTTTGAATTTTTCTCACAAAAAAATAGAAGATTCTACAAGATTGATGGTGGTGACGTGTACTTAGCTCTATGAAGACCTGTTTGTGTGCTCTCTGTGAATCTGAACCAGGATGCCCTCTCTTGAGCAACTTTACCAGCAGCTGAAAGAAGAGCTTAGGGTTGCTGAGCAGGAGATATGGCAATTAACAGAAAAGAACAAGAGGATTCGAAGTAATCCTCCTGTTGTGAGTCCCCAGGCTAAGAGGGGAAGTTGGTCAGTGGCCAGGCAACATGGAACCAAGCTGAGGATCAAGAAGACTGTTGGAGAGGCAGAAACAATGAGGACCCAGAAGACTTCTGTGGAAACTTCCAACCCATTTTCGGTACTACCTGACGAATGTGGATGTTCTACTGGGAATGTCACAACGAGCACCAAGGAAGCATTGGCTGACATGAGTGAGACATCCCTAGAAACCCCAACAAAAACCATCGAGAACGTCTTGACGAATTCCACAAGTGGTGTAATGCTACCTGACGAATGTGAGTCGACTACTGGGAGCATTACGACGGACGACGCCAAGGAAGGTAAAAACATTGCTGTTGTTGGGGATAGCCAGATTAGGTACATGAATAGGGCATTCTGCTTGAAGGATAGGAGTAGGATGCAAAGAGTGTGTTTTCCTGGGGCTGGGATGAAGGATATTATTAGCCGTCTGTATGACATCATGAGAGGTAATGGGAGCAATCCTATTATCTGTCTCAGTGCTAGAGGCAACGATGTTGGCAGACGTAGGAGAGGACCTGATTAGCAGGTATAGGTCAGCAATAGAGATAATTAGGAGGAAGGGTGGGAAATCTGTCATATGTGGCATTTTGCCAAGGAGAGGAGTTGGAAATGAATGGTTGTCCAGGGCAATTGGTGTCAATTGTTGGCTGGACAAATACTGCAAGGAAAATGCGGTAACATTCATTGACAACTGGGACCTCTTCTATGGCAGAAATGACATGTATGCCAGGGATGGGGTTCACTTATCTAGGTTTGGGGTGGGAGCACTGGCCAACGCAGTTGAGGGAGCAGTTAGGTCTTTAAACTAGAATTAGATAGTGGTATGGGTTTTCATGGAAAATCAATGAATTTTGAGTGTAGTGATTGTGTGAGTTTTAAGGAAACCAGTTATAGGCAGAATGAGGAAGAGTTATTGATGAACATAGGAAAGCCAATGGCATTAGGTGATAAGGAGAGTAACAGGCATAGTGGAGGAACAGAAATCACTAGGAAGAATAAAGAGAAAGGAGGGTCCTTAAATATATATTACACAAATAGTTGTAGTGCTAGAAATAAGATGGACAAGTTGAGACTAGTTGCTAGTGCAGGTAACATTGATGTATTTGCATTAACTGAGACGTGGTTCAATATGAAAAATTGGGACATGCCTGCTGAATGTCACATACAGGGTTTTAAATTGTTCCGAGTAGACAGAAGTATCGGGAAGGGGGGTGGGGTGGCACTGTATGTCTGAGATCGCTTGAACTGTTGCATAAAAACAGGTACGTATAAAGTCTGAAACCCATACTGAGTCTGTTTGGATAGAATTTTCAGAGGGACATGAAAAATTGATTTTAGGTGTAATATACCATCCCCCAAACTTAGATAGGGACCAAGGGAGACTACTATGGGAGGAAATTGTTAAGGCCACAAGGCACGATAATGTAGTAATTCTAGGAAAATTTAACTTTAGTCATATTGATTGGAATTTCTTGACTCGGAATTTAGAATCAAGCGACGTCTTAAAAGTAGTTCAGGATTGTTTTTTGAATCAGTTTGTGACAGAGCCTACAAGGGGAAATAACCTGCTTGACAGAAGACTTCTGTGGAAACTTCCAACCCATTTTCGGTGCTACCTGACGAATGTGGATGCTCTACTGGGAATGTCACAACGAGCACCAAGGAAGCATTGGCTGACATGAGTGAGACATCCCTAGAAACCCCAACGAAAACCATCGAAAACATCTTGACAAATTCCACAAGTGGTGTAATGCTACCTGACGAATGTGAGTCGACTACTGGGAGCATCACGACGGACGACGCCAAGGAAGGTAAAAACATTGCTGTTGTTGGGGATAGCCAGATTAGGTACATGAATAGGGCATTCTGCTTGAAGGATAGGAGTAGGATGCAAAGAGTGTGTTTTCCTGGGGCTGGGATGAAGGATATTATTAGCCGTCTGCATGACATCATGAGAGGTAATGGGAGCAATCCTATTATCTGTCTCAGTGCTGGAGGCAACGATGTTGGCAGACATAGGAGAGGACCTGATTAGCAGGTATAGGTCAGCAATAGAGATAATTAGGAGGAAGGGTGGGAAATCTGTCATATGTGGCATTTTGCCAAGGAGAGGAGTTGGAAATGAATGGTTGTCCAGGGCAATTGGTGTCAATTGTTGGCTGGACAAATACTGTAAGAAAAATGCGGTAACATTCATTGACAACTGGGACCTCTTCTATGGCAGAAATGACATGTATGCCAGGGATGGGGTTCACTTATCTAGGTTTGGGGTGGGAGCACTGGCCAACGCAGTTGAGGGAACAGTTAGGTCTTTAAACTAGAATTAGATAGTGGTATGGGTTTTCATGGAAAATCAATGAATTTTGAGTGTAGTGATTATGTGAGTTTTAAGGAAACCAGTTATAGGCAGAATGAGGAAGAGTTATTGATGAACATAGGAAAGCCAATGGCATTAGGTGATAAGGAGAGTAACAGGCATAGTGGAGGAACAGAAATCACTAGGAAGAAAAAAGAGAAAAGAGGGTCCTTAAATATATATTACACAAATAGTCGTAGTGCTAGAAATAAGATGGACGAGTTGAGACTAGTTGCTAGTGCAGGTAACATTGATGTATTTGCATTAACTGAGACGTGGTTCAATATGAAAAATCGGGACATGCCTGCTGAATGTCACATACAGGGTTTTAAATTGTTCCGAGTAGACAGAAGTATCGGGAAGGGGGTGGGGTGGCACTGTATGTCTGAGATCGCTTGAACTGTTGCATAAAAACAGGTACATATAAAGTCTGAAACCCATACTGAGTCTGTTTGGATAGAATTTTCAGAGGGACATGAAAAATTGATTTTAGGTGTAATATACCGTCCCCCAAACTTAGATAGGGACCAAGGGAGACTACTATGGGAGGAAATTGTTAAGGCCACAAGGCACGATAACGTAGTAATTCTAGGAAACTTTAACTTTAGTCATATTGATTGGAATTTCTTGACTCGGAATTTAGAATCAAGCGACTTCTTAAAAGTAGTTCAGGATTGTTTTTTGAATCAGTTTGTGACAGAGCCTACAAGGGGAAATAACCTGCTTGACTTGGTTTTGGCAAACAATGAATCCCTTGTTAATAATTTAGAAATTTCAGAGGAACTTGGTGCTAGCGACCACAAATCAATTACATTTAGCATTGAATGGAAGTATGATAGTAGGGATAACTCAGTAACAGTTCCAGATTTTCGCTTAGCAGATTATGATGGGCTTAGAGAACACTTATCATCTGTAGACTGGAGTAATGAAGAGAGCTATCAGTATGACAGCTTTCTTAACACAATACATGCTGCCCAAAGGAGATTTATCCCATATAAGGAAATTAGATCAAATAGAAATAATAGGCTCAAATATCTTTTAGGACAGAAGAAAGGAATTTATAGGCGCATCAAAAGAGGTGAGGGTCATCTTATGAATCAGTATATTGACATTAAGAGGGACGTTAAAAAGGGGATAAGAAAAGCTAAACGGGACTATGAAATTAAAGTTGCTAGGGATTCGAAAACTAACCCATAAAGTTTTTTCCAGGTTTATAGAACAAAAGTTAGAGATAAGATAGGTCCCGTTAAAAATAACTCTGGACATCTCACTGATAAGGAGAATGAAATGTGCTCTATTCTTAATAATTATTTTCTCTC